TTTTTTTCACAACTGGTTGAAAAATCAAGTTAGTATTTATTTCTAATCCAAAGTTTTAATTATTAAAGGCTATCAGGTGTTAATCACAGTCGTCTAAAATATCTTCAGTTTTATTATTTATTCAGATATTTAGACAAACATAAAAAAAACTTCCATATCCTCAGAGCAATAAAACGAGACGTAAATAACGTAAACTTATAAACAGCTTCTTTCAAAAGCTGCATCCAGACAGAAACTTGTTAGATTTATCTTCTCTGGTTATTTTTAATTGTTGTTGACATAATTTGTAAACAATATATATATATATATATATATATATATATATATATATATATATATATATATATATATATATATATATATATATTTAATTGTTGAATAGTTTGGGATATGTTTAGTTGTTGATCTGTAATTCAGAATTTTTCTAATGTGGGTAATTTTAAAATTGAACGCTAAGCTTTCAATAAACAGTCTAAATGTTTATTTAAAACCTTTAATTAAATCTGCAGCGTTTGGAAGTTATTCAAATCATGATTTTTTTTGGATGAATTTGATTATAATGATAATTGATTATAATTTCCATTTAGAATTATTAGTTATAAAATTAGATAAATTGCATAACAGCAATATCTGAGCTATATTCTCACGGCGACCTTTGACCTCTGCATGTCTTCCTTACCCTGTGTTTGAACTGAGGAACAGGTGCGCAGCATTTTAAAGCCTGATGTTTTCTGTGATCACAGGAAGGTCCCTGAGGGGAGGAGGCCCTGCGGCTTCTCAGGGGACCATGGATACGACAATAAGATCAACAGTATGCAGGTATCTCCTGCCTGGCATCCAGCAGGCTAACCTTATGCTAACACTAATGATTCCAAACATGCTTATGTTTCCTAGCCTCTAGGCTTCTCTAACATTGCTATGAATTAAACACATTTATGATAGAATAGAAGCAGTAAATGTAGTTTAGAGGCAGGAAGTCTTCCTTTATTCCAATCAAGTCTTCTTTCTATTGCAGACTATTTTCCTGGGCTACGGACCCAACTTTAAATTCAAGACCAAAGTTCCTGCCTTTGAAAACATTGAGCTTTATAATGTCATGTGTGGTAAGTTGTGTGTTTGGATCCGTTCAGGTCAGACTGGAAACCGTTCTGTGACTGAGATGTTCTGGTAGAAGTTCTCCGGTTCCTCATTGGTCCGCAGGAAGTGGACCGTAGCGCAGTCAGAATGATGTCCTGAAGGAACCACCGCCTCTATCTGGTTCCTTTATCAGCCTCTCTCTGATCCATCCCATCTCAGATCTCCTGGGTCTGAAACCGGCTCCTAACAACGGAACCCATGGGAGTCTGAACCACCTGCTGAGAAACCCCCCCTTTAGGCCCACCGTGCCAGGGGAGGTGTCCCGGCCGTCCGCCTCCAATCTGGTTCCCCTGGTGACCGATGACCTGGGCTGCAGTTGTGATGAAAAGGTGAGTCCTGCTGAGAGTTTTTAGCTTTAGCCACGATGTTGCTAAGCTGTGGAGGACGGGTCCAAACAGAAAAAAGTCTTCACTCCCCGTCAGCATGGTTGGTCATGCTGTAAAAAACGAGAACATGCTAAATACTTTCCAAGCTTTTTCTGCCTTCAATCTGACCTGTAATCTGTAAAGCACTGGGCCTTAACCCGTCACCTTCAGGGGACGGGTGAGAGCCCAGAGGGGACGGGTCGGAGCCCAGAGGGGACGGGTCGGAGCCCAGAGGGGACGGGTCGGAGCCCAGAGGGGCCAGAGGGGACGGGCAGAGCCCAGAGGGGCCAGAGGGGA